GATATTTTTGCTTTAATGGGAGTTTAGATACTCATCTGTGAGACTTTTAAGTGATTAGCAAGCTAGTCCAGTGTTCTGCTGTTTTAAGTGGAACTCCTGAAATCTGGAAAGATCTGAAAGCACCATTTGGACTCAAGAGATTTACTGCAACATTGATTAGCAGTTCATTTCAGTTCAGTAAACATTTATAGCTTTGTGTCATTTCATTGGCAGATGTTAGACTATTAAATAGTCCAATTTGCCAGGTGTTAGGATGAAAAATCTATATCCTGCCCTTGAAAAGCAGCTATCCTGACTGAATCTGGTAGGTCCCTGAAAAATAGTAATTTTATAACTTACCTGGGAATAAAGACCCGAATACTTAGGTTTGCAAAAACCTACTCTGAGCTTACGAAAAATGGGGAGTGGAGGTGGGGAGTAGCAAGGAAGCACCTAAAAGACCACTTTGGCCTTACTGGCTCCATTACAGATAAGTCCACTTCTGAACATCAAGGTTTGTAGCTTCTATGGTAGTGCTGTCTTGATACATTAAAATTGATCATTAAAGGAACTCAAAAGTTTTGCCAACAATTGTATTACTAGGGACAGGCGCAACCATTATTTCACTTTATTTGTTCACCTTTTCTCATAGAAGAGGATATCTAAAATGCTTTTGGAATTTTCCAAGTTTGTGGGATTGTTTTGTTTTATTTATGGGGTGTGTGTGTCTGATTCTGGAAAGGATATACTGTAACATGACCCAGGGTTATACATGAAATACAACAGGATAAAACCAAGTAAAAGTAGGTGAGAAAGGTAAATGAAAAGATAGAATTAGGAGACACAAAATAGACCCGGATATGAGGCTAACCATATATTTATAATTTGGGACTGTTGCTGTCACCCGACATTTGTATGTTGCTTGTTCAATTGTTCCAAGAGGGTAAATCTTACGTATTTTCAAGCAATGGTGTGAAGTTTGAGGTAATTTTTCTAATGTTCTAGCTTATTAGAAAGGTTAATAAGCTTCTCTTTGTTAAGTAGGTTGTAGCTTTAAGTTTTATGTTATACAGACATAAAAAAAAAATATGAAACAGTGCTTTCGTATATACTGCATCTTTTTCCTCGGCCATCCTGTCATTTTCTTCTCTTTCCTTTCCCTTCTTTATCTGGCCTTGCTCGTTCTCTTTGTGCTTCTGCCCATTTCCCCTTATCTGTACTAATGGTTTTCAAACTTTAGGCTGTTTGAGAATCACCTAGTGGGTGGTTTAACAGTGCTGATTCCTAGTCCCTTCTGAAGAGATAAACACAGCCACAAAATAAAGCCAGAAGTTTGCAATTTTAACAAGGAGCCCGAAATGCAGTCAGATGAATATTGGTTTAGCTTCCTTTCCCAAAAGTTGAACACCCTGATTTAATTCACAGTTCTTAATCCATCTTGAGTGACTTTTCAGTTTCTATTTCTCCTAGCTTCCTACCAAGTGGTAGTAGCTACTAATGGCCTTAAAACATGGACAATAGCAAGATCTCATTCATGACAAGTCTAGAAATAGCCATCAGTTTCTAAGATTCGAAGATTTATGGCCCAGTCTTGCTTCTGCTTTTATTTGTTCATGACCACTGAGCTCATGACCAGTTTCCTTGGGCTTAGGTTTCTTCATCTGAAGTAGCATTATTGTTCAAGAATCATTTACAATTGAGACTGATTATCCCTCATTGGAAAAACCAGAGTCAGTGAGTTGTCTTAGAAGGTAAAACTATAAAGACCTGAATGGACTATGAACCTAGCACTCTTTTCCATATTACTAATGTTCCTTGGAGTAAGTTTCATCACCTCCTTTTCTTATCTTGTGCCCCTTACAATTCTGAGAAAAAAAGTAAAGGCTTCATATGATAAAAGGTTCAAGTCTACAAAATGATAATTTATATATATTTATAAGGAATGTAGTATTCTATATCAGTTAATTTTCCAAACAACTTAAACTCAAATGTTTAACATTTTTAAAAGTAAAATCTAAAATAAAACCATAACTTACCTAGTAAATTACGTTAGAAACTACTGTAGTGCCATAGTGAATACCAATTTAACCACTTCTGGTGGCATCAGAACAGTCAAGTCGTTTATAAGGATGGTGAGACTTCAAATCCTCTTGACCTTCTTCAGCTGCTGCCATGATAAACAATTTGGAGTAGGACTAGACAACTGTACCTTGCCTCCTACTCCAGGGACCTCTCACTTCCTGCCTCTTGGCTTCTGACAAGCTGCAGAAACTGCTTGGTCCTTGGTGTATAACTCGGAAGAAGTGTGGGTCACCCTCCCTCCTTCAAAGACAATTCAGGGGCATCTACACTAATAAAAGACAAATATGCTAATTGACCATACCTTTGCTACACCCACCAGCCAATCAGAGCCACTATATGCAAATTAACCCAACCAAGATGGCGGTTAATTTGCATATACCGGCTGGGAGCGAAGACTGAAGACAACGTGGAAGCAAAGCGCTACAGAAGGGAGCAAAGTAGAGGCGGTGGAGACAGGAACCGAGCCAAGGCGACGGAGGCAGGAGGGAAACCAGCCGGGCGGCGGAGCGGGAGGGAAAACAAACAGCCGCGCGGCGGAGCGGGAGCGAAGCCTGCCTCAGTGGGTTTCGCTCCCTTCTCTGCTTCACTCCAGGCGCAGGAATCTTCCTGCAACGGGCCTCTAGTATTTCATAAGTCTCCTCAGAAAGTCAAGAACAAGCACTAGTGCTTATGTGGTATCCAACTCAATCCATCCTTGATTAGCTTTCCTTCCTTCTGTTTCATTTCTCCATTACCCCTGTTCCCTGGGATCCCTTCCTAAATAAACTGCATGCAAATCTGGGGCTATGCTTTGAGGAGAACCAAAGCTAAGACAAGCAGTAAAGTAACACGCAGATAGAAAGATGGTTCTATTGTCACCATATAATTTACTTTGCAAATGCCTAAGTAAGAAGTCCTGCTCTCCCTCCCCTTTTAAAAAAAAACTCTGCTGGTTAGGACAGACCAGAGCTATCAACTATAAAACTGAAAATACATTCAGAATTGAATTTTCTAAAAAAGCCACAAAATTGTTTTACAGCCTTAATTTTTTATCCCATGCTATTGCTATAACCTCCTAATATTCACCCTCACTTTGAAAAGCTAAGCCATTTACATGAATAGGTGAGTAGCAGCTTAATAAAAATCTTTTCCATTAACTTTAGTTCAAAGTAAGGCTTTATCTTTCCATTCTGAATCTTAATGTTTCTAAAAAGTCCTATTGACTTTGTTCTCACCCTCTGCCAATCAGTTTTCTCAGTTAAACGTGTGTTTTTTTGTCTTTCACTAGAGAAAGTGTTACTTCCTCCATGAGAAGATATTATCTGTGATAAATAGAACTGTACATTTTGCTGTATTCTTGGGTTGGTTTCCCTTTACAAACATGCAGAATATGCAGATGTCCTTTTCCCATATAATAAATGCCACTTTAATCTTCATAGCTTGTGACGTTCAAGTTACAAATGAAGCTCAGAGAAATGAAGTAATTAGCTCGAGGTACAACGTGTAAAAAATAACAGAACTAGAACTTGAATTCTAGTCTTCTGATTCTGAATCTCATGTTCACCTGAAGGTGACTGAACACAGCTTCAGTTTATTGGTTGTTTCTACATTGGACCCACTGAAATTTTATCAAGAGTTTGTTTTTTTAAATATTCAAATAAGGACTCAGAAAAAGATAAATTATAGGCATACATAGGATCATTTATCTTTACCCTACCTATCAGGGCTTAATAGAAAAGAACTCCTTTTTTACCTATTCTAACATTTAAAAAATATATATCCTATATAATAAAAGGCTAATATGCAAATCGACCGAATACTGGAACGACTGGTCGCCATGACGTGCACTGACCACCAAGGGGGCAGACGCTCAATGCAGGAGCTGCCCTCTGGTGGTCAGTGCGCTCCCACGGGGGGAGCGCCAGTCAGCCAGAAGCTGGGCTCATGGCTGGTGAGCGCAGTGGTGGTGGCGGGAGCCTCTCCAGCCTCTGCGGCAGCACTAAGGATGTCTGACTGCCAGCTTAGGCCCGCTCCCTGTGGGACATGTGGGACATCCCCTGAGGGCTCTCGGACTGCAAGAGGGAGCATGCCGGGCTGAGGAACTGCCCCCCCCCACCGAGTGAACAAATTCTGTGCACTGGGCCTCTAGTGTGTGTGTGTGTATATCCCTAAATGGTGGAACAACTGGTCACTATGATGTGTGCTGGCCACCAGGGGGTGTGCATGGAACAGGGCGGGCATCGGCCGTGGCAGGATGGTGAAGCAGGTGAGCAGGGGTGCCAGACCAAAGTGGCGCGCCGGTTGCTGTCATTGGGGCGAGCCTCTGGTGGTTACTGAAAATTCTTTGCTCCCGCGCGCCACGGTCCTGCCCAGTGCTCACACCTGCTGCTGGTGCCGGCCCCAGTCACTCCACACTGTCAGCGGGTGCGAGCGGGGCCAGCGCCGTCAGTGCGTGGGAGTGGTGGCGGCAGGAGCAGGGCTGCCAACAGACGGGGGACCGGGGGCCACGGTGGGAGGGGCCGGGCTGAGGCGCAAAGGATGGGCCAAGACTTGCCCCTGTGCCTACCGCAGCCTCACAGCCCACAGTTCCTTTCAAGGTGCACGAATTCGTGCACTGGGCCCCTAGTATATACATAATAGACATTTTTTAAAAGATGAAGCCCAATAAATAACATGGCAAACCTTTCTCTACACAGTAGTAAATAGATTTTCATCTTATGGACTTCTATATGTTGCTCTTGTTTATAGGTTTGTTAAAATAGGAAAAACTGCTAGTATCTGTTCTAATGAACTGCATAATTCAATCATCTATAAACCCTTCTTCCCCCAGGCACAAATTCATTCTTGCTTTGAGAAGATGTAGGTTTTAAAGCTGAACTGAACCTCTGCAAATTACAGATATGCAACATTTAAAACAATGTTGAAATGCTTGTGTTTAACTCCAGTTGGCATAAAAAATGTTGAGTCTTCAGCAAAGTTAGATGCCATTAATTAGTCTTAAGATTTCCTGTTATAGTTGCTATAAAGCATCTCAACAGATGGATTCCAGAATAGGTCATAGCACTGTGAAAAGAAAAGAAAAACCATTTTCTTCCTTACTTCAGAAGTAGTAACAGATCTGAATTCATCTAACTTAAAAAAACTGTTTACAAACTGAGTTTCATGTATGAAAGAGAACATCTTAAATTGGCCTTTCCTCTTCCTGAGTCTCTAAATCTAGTGCTCCATACTATCTGCTCTATTACCTTCATGATTCTAAAAATTTCACCATTATCTACTATTTTGTTTTTTATTTGTCAGACTAAAAGTTGTTTCTGTTTTTCTATATGGAGGACAATTGACATATAACATTATATTAGTTTCAGATGTATAACGAAGATTTAATATTTGTATATACTACAAAATGATCACAGTAAGTCTAGTTAACATCCGTCACTATACATAATTACAAAATTTATTTTCTTGTGATGAGGACTTTTAAGATCTGCTCTCAGTAACTTTGAAATATGCAATACAGTATTATTTATAGTCACCATGCTGTATATTACAACCAGGATTTGTTTTACAACTGGAAGCTTGTACCTTTTGACCCCCTTCATTCATTTCTCCCACTAGCCATCCCCCTCCTCTGGCAACCACTAATCTCTTCACTTTATCTAGGAGCTTGATTTTTGTTTTTTAAATTCCACATATAAAGGACATCATATGGTGTTTGTCTCGCTATTTCACTTAGCATGCCTTCAAGGTCCATCCATGTTGTCACAAACGGGCAAGATTTCATTCTTTTTTATGGCCAAAAAGTATTCCACTGTGTATTTAACCACTTCATCTTTATTCATCCACTGACTGACACTTAGGTTGCTTCCATATCCTGGCTATTGAAAAAATGTTGCAGTGAACATGGGGGTACATATATCTTTTCGAATATGTTTTCATGTTCACTGGATAAATATCCAGAAGTGGAATTGCTAGAACAAATGGTGGTTCTATTTTTAAGTTTTTGAGTTTTTCATAATGGCAGTAAAAATTTACAATCCCACCAACAGTGCACAAGAGTTCCCTTTTTTCCACATCCTTGCCAACACTTATTTCAAGTCTATTCGATAACAGTCATTTGACAGGCAGGAGGTGATATCTCATTGTGGTTTTGTATTTGCATTTCCCTGGAGAATAGTGTTCAGCATCTTCTCATGTATTTGTTAGCCGTCTGTATGTCTAACAAATGTCTCTTCAGATCCTCTGCCCATTTTTAAATTGTATTATTATCTTTTTTGCTATTGAGTTGTATGAGTTCTTTGTGCATTTTGGGATATTAATCCCTTATCAGATATATGATTTATAAATATTTTCTCCCAGTTAGGTAGCCTTTTCATTTTGTTGATGATCTCCTTTGCTTTGTAGAAGCTTTTTAGTTTGATGTAGTCCTAGAGTTTATTTATTTTTTTAATATATTTTATTGATTTTTTACAGAGAGGAAGGGAGAAGGAGAGGGATAGAGAGTTAGAAACATCGATGAGAGAGAAACATCGATTCAGCTGCTTCCTGCACACTCCCTACTGGGGATGTGCCCGCAACCAAGGTACATGCCCTTAACCAGAATCAAACCTGGGACCCTTCAGTCCGCAGGCCAACGCTCTATCCACTGAGCCAAACCGGTCAGGGCCTATAGTTTATTTTTGTTTTTGGAATCAGATTAAAAAAATTATCACCAAGACCAATGTCAAGGAACTTACTGCCTATGTTTTCTCCTAAGAGTTTATGGTTTCAGGTATTACATTCGTCTTTAATCTATTTTGAGTTAATTTTTGTGTATAGTATATAGTAGTTTAATTTCATTCTTTTGCATGTGGCTGTTCAGTTTTTCCAACACCATTTATTGAAGAGACTGTCATTTTCCCATTGTATATTCCTGGTTCTTTTGTTGTAAATTAATTGACCATTATGCATGGGCTTATTTCTAGACTCCCTATTCTGTTCTGTTGATCTTTGTGTCTGTTTTTATGCCAATACCATACTGTTTTGATTACTACAGCTTTGTAATATAGTATGAAGTCAGGGAGCATGATGCCTCTAGCTTTGTTTTTCTTTCTCAAGATTGCTTTGGCTATTCAGGGTCTTTTGTGATTCTGTACAAATTTTAGAGTTGTTTGTTCTATTTCACTGAAAAATGCCACTGGAATATCTACCATTTTGCTTTTTATTTCCCAGACTAAACTGTTTGATCTTTTAGTTTATTCTTTTTATGACAAGATGTAATCACCTTGATAATTTAGACCTTTTCTCATGATTTTTAAAATCTATCATAACCATTATTGTATCTGTTATTTATCTGTCTTAGTATATCCATCCATATCCATTCATCTATGTGTCAGCATTAAAGTGACTAGTTGGTTCCTCAGGATATATGGACTTATATGGAATACATTATGACTTTTATGGATATAGGTATGGCGTATACTTGTATATAAAATAGGTAAACTCTTTTCTCTTGCATTGCTAATTCCCTTCTTGATAAAGTACAGCCTTTTGGACTTTTGGACCAAACCCGCCTGGTTCAGAATAGTCCATAATGATTCTTGGATTATAATTAGAGTTATACATATATAGTTTAAAGGAGAAATACAAGTTAGATAGTCCACACACTAACTATGACACCTTGAAATCGTTTGCAACATTTGTCAATTCATGATTTTCTTTGTCATTACAATCAGTTCTCATTTGCTTGGAATTTAACTACATAGAAAACCACAGAAGTGATCATACTGTGCCTACTTACATAGTTCTTCTATACCATTTATAACAATAGACTGATCCCAGTATCAATCTTTAGGAGCCTTTCACCATTTATACTTCTCCACTCAGCTGGGGCAGAGTTCAGACATGAAGGTTAGCTTTTGACTTTAGGCTTAAAAGCCAAACCTCTCTGGATTACATGTCTACTCACATTTCCACCTTTCTCCTAACTTATTTTATAATAATTATTCTGTGACGAGGCCAATACCCATCTGGAGGGATGAACTGGGATTTGGTCATGCTAGTAAAAGCAAGGATTATATTGAACTCTACTTTCTAAATTGGGTTTAGAAAACTATAGAGTACAGCCTGCCAATTTCCTTTATGTGGTCACCGTGGTATAGTGAACACTGACGTTCTTGAAAGTCAGCGGGCTCCCGTGTCTCAATTCTTGGACTTTAAGTGCTGTGTGGCTTCTATAGTGTCCTGGTCACCTACAGTGAGTAGTTCAGGGGCAGCAGTCATTCCAGGGTTATGCAGCAGTGAATGCTGGCATAGCTAAAGAAGAGAACTTCTGCCCTGGCTGGTATGGCTCAGTTGTTTGAATGTCATCCCATACACCAAGAGGTGGCAGGTTTGATTCCAGGTCAGGGCACATTACGAGGTGTGGGTTCAATCCCAGGTCGGTGCACATGTGGGGGCCAACCGATCCATGTTTCTGTCCCACATCAATGTTTTTCTCTCTCCTTCCCTTCCTCTCTCTAAAATCAATTTTTTTAAAAAGTTAAAAAAGAGAAGGGAATTCCCCTAAAAAGTACTAGGGAATCTGATATTCTGGGTCGTTGGCCTGACCCTGCCATTTGCTGACTGACCTTTGACAAGGAAGGAAACTAACATCTATTATATTTTGTGTACTAGGTCACAATGCATTTTATTTGATACTTTAAACCACATTTTTACTAGTGAGAAAAGACTCAAAATGAAATAAATTGCTTTAAAATCTATAGCACAGAAATAGAGGAACCATGCAAAACTATGGCCTCACTCTAAGGCTTATGCTCTTTCTATTACAGCCAATACCTCTTTGAACTCACTTCACTTCTCCGACTTGTAACTGTGAAATAGGAATGTTTACTGTGAGGATCAATTAAGTGTTTTGAATGATCTAGTGTTATAACCTCCCCCACAACCATCAGTTTTCAGATAGTGCTAATTGTTCTTAAGTAGAGCCACAATCTTACTTAATTAGTCTGGTGGCATAGAGCTCATAGCAGTGTGGAACTACTGCTTGATCATTCCCTTGTTTTAAACACTATAATTCTGTTAATGTAGCTCAAAAAAACTGTCAGTTTTTCCCTAGCCCCATTATGTTAATTCAAACTCAGCTTCCAATCAACTGAATTTTTTTAAAAAAAAAATGCTATTAGGCATAATTTGCTCATCTTATGTTTATGTTGCCTTTTTAGCTGAAAAATCACTTCCTTATTATTAAACTAGAGGCCCGATGCACTAAATTTGTGCAAGAGTAGGCCTTCTTCCCCACCCCCGCCGCCCCGCCCCGCCCAGCTGCCTGCACCGGCTTTCCTCTGGCACCCAGGACCCAGGCTTCCCTCTGGCCACCAGCAAGCACCCTGGACCCAGGCTTTCCTTTGGCCGCTGGCAGGCACCCTGGACCTGGGCTTACCTCGCAGCCCCGGCTTCATCCGGAAGGTCCGGTCTAATTAGCATATTTTATTATTATAGATAGTTAAAAAAACAGCTATTTTTCTATGATAATGCTCAGGGCTCTAAGAAGAATTAGGATTTCATTCCTGCCCCTACGAGTTTCATTGTATATAGGGAACATAGACAAATGAACTGGATAAATACTCAAAATTAAGTAAAGGGAGAAGAGCATTTTGTCGGAATGAATGAAGAAGGATTTTGACAGCTATGTTCATAATTACAAACAATTTAAATGTGATTTGCATTGGTAGGCAGTAGAATGACCGCTTAAAGACAGTTCCACATATAATTGTTACTTGGTTTCATTCTTTTCTTAAAGCAACTCCCAGTGTCTTTCACAAAGAAGTTAAGAGTATGATTTTCTTACTCAGAGGGGAGGGGACTGTGTCTCTGCAACAGTACAGGTTAGTTACTGTGCCCACGGTATACACTGAAAGTACAAACTCATGTTTCATCGCTAAACCACATCTAATATCTCAAAAACTGCCAGCTCAGGAAATAACCACTCCTTCTGCTACCAATACTTAATTCTAACTTATATGAAGCATTTCTTCTTTACATATGGTCCTTTTAAAGGAATATTTTTATCCCTCACAGCCTAAGTGAGTTTTCTACCATAAAGATAAGTTGTTTTTCTTTGGAACTAAGAAAGGGATGGTAGTATCTTTATTGTAATGGTTGTTTAGCTGATTCTAAAGAGGAAAAAGTTTTGCTCAAGCTAGTTTGGCTCAGTGGATAGAGCATTGGCCCATGGACTGAAGGGTCCCAGGTTAAATTCCAGTCAAGAACACATGCCCGTGTTGCGGGCTCAGTCCCCTGTAGGGGGTGTGCAGGAGGCAGCCAATCAGTGATTCCCTTTCATCACTGATGTTTCTATTTCTCCCTTCCTCTCTGAAATCAATAAAAATATATTAAAAATAATAATTAAAAAAAAAGTAAAAAGTTTTTACTTCTGCTGTGGTATAGGGTTGAGCTAGGCTGAGGAAAAAAGAGAATGAAAATGCCTTACCAGGATGATACAGCAAAATTTGCAGAAGGAAGAAATAAAGGGAAGGAAAAAATAAAAGCACTGATGGGCTGTACAATAAATCTTGGCTAAGTGCATAGTCTTCCAAACTTTCCTAATTTTAGTCAAAGACTGAGAAATGACAAGAAACATTGATTTAATACTAAAAGTTGATAGTGTATAAAGCTATAAAAACAATGCAACTCTTACCTTACAGGAAACAACTGAGGAAAACATCCTTGTGTTTTAGTGTCAACAAATTTCTGGATCTCGAGCACCTGTTTTAAAAGACGTCCCTTGGAAGGTTTGTCAATTTTTGTTAACACCATCTGCAAAAAACAAATGACTAAATGAGTTAATGTATGCAATTTATAAAGCATACACTACATGCTTGCTGTTTAATTAATGGTGCTTTAACAACACAGGACTATACTACGTTTAATTCAAAATCAGTGAAAAGGACCCTGAAGCCATATTTGCAACTACCATAAACCAAATGTTTCATATCATCACTCTATATCTGTGATCAAAGATATATGTTAGTATTATTGGGTTGGGTTGATTCATATAAAATTGGCAATTTATAATCATTTTTGACATACAAAATGGTTCCATCTCACATGTAACCTAAAGGAAAAATTACAAATTCAGCTATCTGTAGGTTGTATCCACTATTCAAGGTTTTATATAATTACACTAGAGGCCCGGTGCACAAAAATTTGTGCAATGGGGGGGGGTAGAGGGGGGGGTCCCTCAGCCCGGCCTGTGCCCTCTCGCAGTCTAGGACCCCTCACCAATCCCTAGCAGCCCCTGGTAGGGCTCAGAGCAGGGCCGATTGGGGAGTTGGGGCGCCGCCCCCTGTAATGCACAGAGCAGGGCAGATGATTAGGTTGCGATGCCACCCTCAGTCACGCTCAGGGTGGGGCCGATTGGGGGGTTGGGGCACCGCCCCGTCACACTCAAGGCAGGGTCGATGGGGAGGTTGCGGCGCCACCCCCTGTCACGCACAGAGCAGGGCCAATCAGGGGGTTGGGGCACTGCCCCCTGTCACGCACAGAGCAGGGCC